ATCCAGATCTATAACTCAGTCAAAGTGAACGCTAAGTGCCTTGGAATTATGAATCTTGAGTGGCAAAAAGAAGGGGAAAAAGGTCAATGTTCAGGCGTCCTTGTAGGGATGCCTGATGTGACCTTGGAGATGTTCCTGACCCTGCCAATTTATAAAAACTTCCCAACTTTCACATTTCAAACCTAGTTCTTCAGCTCCCCTCCATCTGTGAGCCTCCCCCACAGCTTTCCAATGCTCAGATGAACCAAGGGTTACTTCTGTGTCTTGCTGCCAAAGACAGTGCACCACCACTCCAGGGTCCAGAGGCTGGTCTCTATATCCCCACAGTTCATGTCCACTTTTCATCACTCTCCCCATCTAGAAACCTCCAGTAGCTTCCTGACTCATTAGAATAAAATCCAAATTTCTCCCATGGCAGTGCGGCAACTGTTTGCTCTCTAATGTGTACCCAACTTCTGCAGCAGTAGCGAGCTTACAATACATTCTCAACATCTGTTCAATGAATGTGCTCTGCAAGCACCCCAATGACCATAGGAGACACAAAACTCTGATTCTCACTCCTCCCGACACAAGTTTCTCTGATGTTACTTCCTGGGATCGTCAGCCAGGCAAACGTGGCCCTCACCTTGAGCTAATTGATAGGTGTCCACAGCTCTTGGAGGCTTGGTCTAATCTGTAGCCAGCCCCTACAGGGAGATCACACCCTTAACCCCCCACCCCCACCCCAACCTGTACACACTCCAGCAATTGATCTCAGCTAAGTTTCTCCTCTGAGAAACCTTTCTAATGTCCTTGGTTAGCTCTTTACCCTCTGGGCTTGCAGCCAGAACACCAGGGTGCCCTCTTTCTTCAAATCAATTGTTTCACACAAGAGCTCTGCTTTTTATTTTCCCATCTCTGTTCCATACAATAGGTCCTAAACCCCCAAATCCTTTTTTTTTATAATTTTTATTTTTATTTTTTATTTTTATTTTTTGTAGTTATAGATGGACAGCATGACTTTATTTTATTTGTTTATTTTTATGTGGTGCTGAAGATCGAACCCAGTTCCCCACACATGCAAGGCAAGCATTCTGCTGCTGATCTAATACAGCCCCAGCCCCCCAAATCCTTTTTTTAAAAATTATCTTTAGTTGTAGATGGACACAATACCTTTATTTTATTCACTCATTTTTATATGATGCTGAGGATCAAACCCAGTGACTCACACACGCTAGGCAAGTGCTCCATCACTGAGCTACAACCCCAGTCCCCAAATCCTTAATATATGGTGCTTGGGAGCTATCCCTAGACCCCTAAAAAGTATAACCTTTGCTAATTTAGGTATGGAATAATACCTAGCTTTCACTGAAAGATCTCACCAAAATGAGGTTCATAAATCCCACTTATCCATTTGCTCTAAATGACATTAGCCATATGAACCCTAAGAGTCTTCCATCAGAAAAAAAAAAATTCTCTAGAAGGCTTGTTCTTAGAGCTAAGACCTAGAGCTACCTCAAATCTTTTACAGAAGTGAGTAGGGTAAAAAAAAAAAAAAAGAAAAGAAAAGAAAGGTGGACTGAAGGGAAAGAAAGTATGAATTAGTCCAAAAACAAAACTTACCTACTTTGGCACTGCAGATATATTAATGTATCTCTTCACCTATGAAATAATCATTCTGGCATTTAACAAAAAGTAATTGTGTACCTACTACATACCAGGTCAATGGTACAGATAAAGATGTCTGTCCATGTGAGCCTTGTATTCTAGCGGGAAAAGACAGACATTTAAAACAGTGAGTATATTAAGTAGATGAATTCTCTGGTTTTGAATTCATAAATAAATGTTCTTATATAAAATATAGACTGTATTATATACAGGTTAAGATATATTATAGAATGATGTATATAAGACATTTATAAACTATATTATAAGACATTGTATATATAATGTTACTAATAATTAATATATGTAATATTCTATGCATACAGAATATAGTTTATAAATAAATTATGCCATTGTAAAAGGAAAGATAAAGGCAGATAGGACAGCTGAAGGGAGCAAAAAGGGGCAGGCTCCAGTATGAAGCAGAGTGGTCAGAGGCGGGCACCATGCTACACATTTTTAATCCTAGCAATTTTGTATCCTCCAGATACAAAATACAAATTCGAGGCCAGCCTCAGCAACTTAGAAAGATCCTGTCTCAAAATAAAAACTTTTGTAAGGGCTGGGTGTGTAGCTCAGTGGTAAAGCACCCCTGGGTTCAATCCCTAGGACTGACCAAAAAAAAAGGGGGGGGGAGGAGAGGGAATAGTGGTCATGGGGGGGAGACCCACTAAAAAAGTGAGGCTTGAGCAAAAACTTGAAGGAGGTGAGGGTATGTGTTCTATGTAACTCTTTCCATTTCTTTTGGCATCCAAGATGATCAAAACCAAATTTGAGACTCATCACAATACCTGAGAGGCCCCTGTGGACTGTAAATTTGTGGGGTTTTGTCCCTTGGAGAGGCAGGGCAGTACAGTGGCTAAAGGCGTGGGTTCCAGTATCAAACTGGGTTCAAACACGGGCCCTCCACTTACTGCAGGACTTAGCACACCATGTTTCACTTCTCTGAGCCTGTGTTCCCAATGCTTCAAAAATGAAGACAATAAAAGTACCTACCTCGGAGGGCTCTTTTCAGGATTAAGTGAAATAACATACGCAAATTCCTTTGCGCGCACATGCTTCCTTCCTTTGCTCGCAGGAAGAACTCAATAAAAATAAGCTGTAATTATTGAACCTTGCTCTTGTCTCTCAAAATCTATTTACATTTTACTTGGTCCTAACTCTTTATTCTTATTGATATTTTAGCATTGCTTTATGGCTTCTGTTTCCGTGGTAAGCTACCTCAAATCCTTTGTGGGTTGGGAGGGTTATAAATAAGTAAGTAAATATATAAAAATCTGGGCAGGAGAATACTTTCAACCAAAGCAAAACATTTCATTACCAATAGAGTGAATTGCAAGTGAGGCCAAAAATCAAGAAATATTGACTCTAATTTCTAACAGTCCATCAAAAACCACCAGCAAGATGTTCTCTGGTTTTTCAAACCATCCCTTCCCCTCTTTCCCAAACCCCTCTTCCTCCTTCCAACAAGAGAGGGTAAATGAGTCACACAAAATGACCCTAGACACCTCCTAAACCCTCCCAAACTCACATCTACTTCACTGCCTTACGCCTCATAGCACTCTCCTTCCCCATCAGAGAAGAGAAATCAATGGGGTCACTTTCCCCCATGGTTGGGGGGAGGGGTGGATGCCAGCTCAGTGAGCAGTCAGACCTAGGCTAGGATTTCATTACTGCCATTAACCAGTGAGTGCTGTGGCCACAGGGAAGCCTCCTGGTCTCTCTGGGCTTTGCTTTCTGGTTGGAAATAAGAGTACCTCCCTGCTAAGGTTCTTGTGCAGTTGAAAGGGGAGAACGCAGGGAAGCAACATGGATAGCTTATTTTCAAAGCCCTCAATAAATGTTAGTTAGACCTTCCTTCCTTAACTGCACCCCAGGGTAATGCTCAGTGGACTCTGGGAATCTGAGTCCCCTTAGTAAGAGAGTGGATGAGGTAGAAGTGGGGTGAGGTATATCTCTGCTCAATAGAAACTCACTGAGTGTCTCTGGGAATGTCAGGGAGGCTCCGAGGAAAAGAAGCAAAAGAGAAAGATCATTTTTGAGCACTTAGTACTTTTCAAACAGGTCATCCCAGTTCTTCCTCACCCCAGCACTTTGAGGTAGGTGTCATTAGCCACACTGACAGTCAGAGCTGGGCTTTGAACCCAGAGCACACAGCTAGGAAATTTTGGGAAGGCAGCTCTGGCCTTCCAAGGTTGCCTTTAGGAAGGACAACAAGTTACCACCACAACAATATGTTTTAGTCAACTTTTTCGCTGCTGCGACTGCAAGAGCTGACCAGAACAATTGTAAAGAGAAAAGGTTTATTTAGGGGCTCATGATTTCAGAGATCTTAGTCCATAAGAGGGCAGATCCATTCCTCTGTGCTCTAGGTGAGGCAGAACATCATGGCGGAAGAGTGTGGCAGAGGGAAGAAGTTCACTTGGTCAGAAAGCACGAGAGAGAGACTCCACACTCCAGGTACAAAATACATACCACACAGCCACATCCCCAATGAACCACTTATTCCAACCACACCCCACCTGCCTCCAGTCCCCACTTAGTTAACCCCATCAGGGATTGGTTCACTGATTAGATTAAGGATGTAACCCAGATCATTTTTCCTCCAAGCCTTTTTGCATCGTCTCATGTGAGCTTTGGGTGGGGGGGGGGACACCTCATATCCAAACCATAACACAGTAAATCCCAGACAACACTGACAAAAACCTGTGAGGTCCTAGCCCACCGCATCTGTGACTCCTGAGCTGGGTACAGCAGGAATCAGCTTGGTGGACCTGATGAGGACTACCTAAGACCCGCTTTCTCCTCTCACTTCCATCAGCCCCCAGGGCTGTTGCTGTTAAATCATCTCTGCTCTCTGAGATTGGGCTTTGTGATTGGCTAGATCTTAATTTGAAAAACACACCCTTTAAATAACTTTAACCAAGTCACCTACTCTTTCTGGTTCCCCTTTGGATTATGGGCCTGTCAAAATGCCTACCTTCCAAACTTGCCATGGAGATTAAATAGAGCAATGCACTGAAAACATATGAAACAGTGCCTGGCACAGACTAGAGTGCTCATTTATGGCAGCTGCTACAGTCACACTGCTGCCGACATGGGGGGAAATCAGCCTTACTTTCAACCATGGTGTCAATATTCTCAGGGAGGGAAAACAAGGTCTCGAGCATGGCCCACCCATACATCCATGAAGCCAAGCAGTATAGCCTGGTTACCCCACAACTGCTGTCCCCAAAGGGAACTCCTGGAGGGTAACAAGGAGATCTAGCTGGGCTTTGTGTCCCTCCCAAGAAAAAAAAAAAAAGCTAATCAAGGTCCAGTCTAGGGTGTCCTACCAATATCTTTGAAACACCTACCTTAGAGTCCTTCTGTGCTGGAGTCAGGGAGAGAGAAGCACCCAGATCTTCTTATCGTGAATTCACATTCCACCCAGGGAAAAGATAAGAAAACTCCATCAAAGTCAGAATGAGAGCTGAGTGTCTCTGGAAATGTCAGGGAGGCTCCGAGGAGAAGGTAGTATTTGAACTGGACTCTGGGTAGTAAGGAAGTTATGGGAGATGGCATTCCACAGCATGGACAAAGGTCTAGTGATGGGAAAACAGAATACTTCGTGAGGATGGAAGACTAGATGGGAGACAAATGAGGAGGCAGGTGGGAGCTAGCAAGGTCCATGAGCCTCAGGGGCAGGGAGTACATAATAAAGGTCACAGCTACCATATAGAAAATGGGGTAAGCAGGCCTGCAGTTCTAAGTAGGACAGTCACAGAAGGCTTCTTTGAGGTGACACATGGAAGACGAGTAAGCCATGTGATTACCTGGGGAAGAGATTCCAGGCAGAGAGAATAACAGTGCAAAGGTCCTGAGGCCACAAAGTGGCTGCCACATTGGTGATGCATTAAAAAGGTCAGTGTAACTAGACCTTGGGAGGAAGAAGACTTTGAGGTTACAAAGTTAAAAGGAAATAGGTTCACCAATGGCCCTGCAGGCCATAATGGGGGCTTTAACTTTTACTTGGATTAAATGGACATTGCAGGATTTCCAGTAAAGGAACAGCATTACCTGACTTAGATTTTAAAAACATCATTCCAACTGTTGTGCAGAGAATCAACTGCAGATCAAGGGTGGAAGCTGAGAGACTAGTAAAGAATCTATTGCAGAAATCAGGCTAAAGAGGTCAGTGACTAGAACCAGGGTAGCAATGGTACGGTGGTTCTCCTGTGCTTCCCCGTGCAAAAAAAAAAAAAAAGCATTTAAAAAAAAAAAAACCTTAGGATCCCTACCCTGTATGCAGCCCAAAGCATCAAAAAGCCCCCCTCAGGATGCAGTGTAGGGAATGGGCCAGCAGGGTGCCAGCCTGAGGAATGTGGAGCTTGTGGGCAGTTGCTTGCACGTCCAGGCCCTTGGTGCCCACAAAGAAGGTAAGACAGGTGCTGTCTTTCGACGCATGTCAGGTGGGTGAAGGAAGAGGTGTCCACGCGCCCTCGTTCCTCAGAGAGAGAACACCGAGGAGTGGGAAAATCCGCACCTCTTGCGAGTCCTGGAACCGGTTCTGAGCTACTGGCACTGAGTGCGCCCGGGGCAGCCGCTGCACGTAAGCAGGTGTCAGCACCTCGCGGGAAGCGCCACGGCCCCTGCTCAGTGCACCGCTCTTCCTACCAGGCCCGTCCCCCAGCTCTGACCCTTTGTATCGTTTGCCTCTACCCCCATCCTGTCTGCCTATCTGTTCTACCCCAGGTTAGGTACGCACTGCCCTGCTGGGGTCCCTCTGGCGGTGGCCGTAGCCGCGCAACTCCGACCCGGGGCTCCAGGAGAAGAAAATCATGAATGAAATGGATGCGATGCTCCCACTCCCCCGCCCTCCCTGTCCAGACAACCTTGGTTTGGGGGCGGTGCCTGCGAGGACTCCGCTCAGAGTTGCCGGGGGCCGGGGCGCCTGAGATGGGTTCAGAGGTTAAGGGTGTGTGATACTCGCCCCCTGGGGACCTGGGCGCCGCGGGAGCTCCCCACCCCCCACCTTGAGAGCCCTGCGCAATTCCCCCCCAGCGGCGCAAGCCCGCCCGGGGGCGGGGCGGAGCCAGGGCTGTGGGTGCCCAACCGACCCGGCGGCTGCGCTCGCGACTCCGCAGCTCAAGCGCATTTGGTGGGGCGGTCGGGCAAGGGAGCGCGCACGGAGCGCGGGACTGAGCGCCTGGCGGACGGACCGACGGACGGACGCCCCCGCACACGCAGACGCACAGAGCTCGGCGCGGCCCCCGTCACACACACAATCGCGCAGACACACACACAGGGACACACGCAGACACACGCACACTCGCGCGCGTACATCCTCCCGCCAGCCTGCCTGCCCGCTCGCCGGCGCCCGGAGCCCGCTCTGGCCGGTAAGTGCGGCGCCTCCGTGGGCGCCTTTGTGTATGGAGCCGGAAGGCGGAGGGCGCGGGGTCCCTACTGGGACGGCCGTGAAGCTGAGACCTCCTCCAGCTCAGAACCGAGGAGCCGGCGCCCGCCCCCGCCACGCCCCCCCGTGGGGCTCCCGGCGCCCCCGGACGGGGGGAGGGGTCTCCCATGCGGGGGAGGGGGCATGACGCTTGGTGGCCGGGAGGCAGCGGCAGCCACTCCCCGCGAAGCTCTTGCGCGGTTCCAGGGAGAGATCCGGACAGTGGTCCAGGTCGAGCCTCTGCGGCCCAGGCTAGTGCGTGGCTCTTGGCTGCATGGCCTCTCCAGGGTCTGAACCCCAGGAGGGAGGTTGGAAGTCGCCGCCAGACTGATGGCCTCTAAACCTCAGCTCCCACAGCCTTCTCATCATCGCGTTGCCTTCCCGACCCTTTTGCTTTAGGCACCGCGTCCCACCCACTCGCAAAATAAAAGCCCAAAGTGTTCCCCTCCCCCATCATATTGCTTTTTCCTGGATGAGGCCCAGGTTCCTGCAAAACCCATAGATTGCCCAGGTCAAAACCTTGAGGGGGTGGAGGGGTCCCTGGAGGTGGTCCCTTAACCAAGAATCGCACATCTTAGAGGGTCAGGACCAGAAGAACCTTGGGAACTCATTTAACCCCTTCATTTTACAGATAGGGAAACTGAGGCCCAATGAGGTGGTTTGACCAAGGTCACCGGAGAGTTAGTGGCAAAACCTGCATTAGAATCTGGGATCCTTGGCTTTCATACTCAGCCCCTCCCCCCCCACACACAACTAGATCCTATTCCCATTGAAACTACAGAACCAAAAAATTAACCTAAGAACCACGAATATTTGTAATTCCAGCCCTGCCCCCATTTGAAGCGGCAAGTGCCATTCATTTGCTACCATTTTTACAGTTTAAAAAAATGAATAAATAATTGTCCTTTCATTTGTTTCATTCATCCTCTAAGGCGAGCTGTTTTGCAAGCACTCCAGGTTTAGGATTTAGTTTGGGAGAATGAAACAGCTCTGGAATGGAGATGAGATTCCAGGGTGTTAGTCCCAGTCCTTCCAAGAGTCCCTGAGCCTGAGAGTCTTCAGCTGGCCCAGTGGCACTCAAGGATTCCTCCTCTTCCCCCACTTTGACTTACTGCATCCCTCCCAGTCTCTCTCCCCTACTCCTTAAGGACCCAGGTTTTCTAATCCAACCAGGCTACCTCTTCTTCCTTGGTGTTTGTTAAGCGCAGCTTCTTGGTATTGTTGACAAAGCTACTAGGGAATCTTTAGTTACAACTACACCAGGTTCCAGAGTGTCTCAGCACAAGGCTCAGTCAAGGGCAGCTGGGTGTCCCATAGCTGATCCCCATGCCTGGTACAGAGGGTGCCCCCAGAGGTGGGTTGAGGGAGTGCAAGCATAGGTGTCTGGTGAAGGGATGAAGTCCATCACCTTCCAAGAGACTGAATAGAGTGGTTGGCAGAAGGACAATGTTCAGTCTCTAGGGGCCTGAGGCTCTGTCTCAAGAGCTTCTTTCTTGAGTGGGCTGAACTGAGCCAGGGGGCCAACTGGCATAACTCCAGGGGTGGTCCCTGGCATTGTTCTCAAGAGGCACGGCTTACAGAGACACAGACACTGTAATGAACAGTAGCCCTGGCTTTTTGCCATGCAGGGGCTTCCACTGCGAGAGTGCAGAGAGCAGGGTTCCAGGCCAGGCCAAGGCTCTTTGCTGGCTGTACAATTTCAGTAAATGCTCACACTCTCTCTGCATCTCAGTTTCTCCATCAGAAAAATAGGATTGTGAGATTGGAGATTTTCAGGATATCTTTCAGGTCTGAACTATGTATTGAGGAAAGGTGGGAGGGGGGAGGAGAAGAGCACTTTTATATAACTACTATGGCCCTGAATTCCTCTGCTTTGACTCTATGAGGGTATAATTCCTGACTTAAAGAGATAATAATGTAGGTAGGATACTGAGCACAGTACCTGGGGCTTAGAAAAAGCTCAAGAATTTGGTAACTATTACTACCATTAGGGCCCCAGCTTTATAGATATTCCCTCCACTTCCCTCCTTCAAATCATCCAAGGACATGGGATTTTTAAATCCTTAAAGTCCTTCTCTCTCAAAACAATCTCTTCCCTGTGACCTATTCCTGGATTTAATGCTCAGACAGCCTAAGACATCCATCCTAGGAAGAACAATACTTTTATTTATCAGTTATTTTGCAACATAATGTAAGTAATAATATATGAGTGTGTGTGTGTGTGTGTGTGTACACATATAGTGCCAACACTTTCCTTATGCTTTAGCTTTTGTATTTACTCTTCATAACACGCTCACAGTAGTGTTATTGGGCCCCTTTTACAGATGGGGAAGGCAAGAATCTGCTTTTAGCTTTTCTAAGGGTGCATGCCTTAAGAGTGTCAGAGCCAGAGAGCTAGGCCTCCAGCTCAGATGATCTGACTCTAGAATCTCAACTCTTTTTTCTGTATCATATTGCCTGTCCTTTCTGGAGACTTGCCCTAAAAGAGAGAAATAACCCTCTGGAAAGAGTAAAGAAGAGGAGATTTATCCTTCTGGAAGATCAGATGGCTTCTCACAGAAGCTAGGTGGCACCTGAGCTAGGTCTGAAAGTCTTGTACATTAGAAAGACTGAAGGAGCATTTCAAGAAGTGGAAGTGGCCACTAGGAAGGACTTCTAGGACATGAGCAGAGCAGTTCATTCCAACTGGAGCAAAACAGATCAAAGAGGAGTGATGGGAAGGAAGGCTGGATCGGAGGGGTAGAGGTAGTTAGGGCACTGAGTGACAAACTAAGGGGTCAGTCTTTAGTTTGAGTAGGGGAGACACATTTTAAAGTGTGAAGAAACTCACTCTGCCCCATGGAGAACAGGTTGGAGGTGGAGAGCCTGCTGGCAGGGAGCCCAGCTAGGAAACGCTGTCGCTGTCGGCGGTGGAGGTGAGAAATAAGGAGGGTCTGGCTTAGGGTGGTTGTAAGAATGGGTAGAAAAAGGAGTTGATGCAAGAGGCCTCAGTGTCACCAAAAACCCAATTTGATGTGGGTGCTACAGGGGAGGGAGGAATAAGTGACAGCAAGGCTTTGCAGCAGAATGGATGAGGTTGCCATTCTAGAAGAGCCTAGCAGGATGGGGAGTGGGGAGCTTAGAAAGGAACCATGACTCTGACGGGGAACCATGACGATCACTCCTGCAGTGCTGGCTCACCAGTCACCATCCATATTGTCAAGAGCCAGTTCATTCATTCATCCCGTTCATTCTCCAATGAATGTGAACATCTCTGATATGCCAGGCTCTTGTAGGCTCTGGGGATACACGGCTGAAAAAGATGAACTTCCTGCCTAAGCTCTCCCAGGAGAGACAGAAAATAAAACCTAAGCATAAATATTTCTTATGGAAAGCTGTGCTCTGGAGAAGAGTAAAGCAGGATGAAGGGTTACTAGGGGCAAAGGTTGAGGAAGAGATTGGCCTTTAAACAGTATTGCCTTTGAGGCAGGATATCTGAACAAAGCCCTGAATGAAGCGGAGACCAACTGGAATAGCTATCAAGGAAGATAAGTGCAAAGGCCCTGGGGTAAGAGTAGCTCAGTGTTTTCAAGGAACCTCAAAAGTAGCTGTAAGATATAAGCAAAGGAGAAGCATGGCAGAGAAAAAGGTAGGAGAAAGGGGCAGGGCCAATGATGTAAGTTCTTCAAGGCCTGAGAAATGAGAATTTGCATGGGGTTAATGGGTCCAAGAGAGCTTGAGTTCTGTTCCCCTTGGGTACTTAGTGCCTAGAAAAATAACCCTGACTCTACTCAGTGGCTCACTAAATAGTTAATGAATGTTGGAAATGAACATTTGTGTGGGAGAATTCATACGTTAGACTTACTATGACCCGCTATGTAAAGGTATCATGGATTAGTAAGGACATAGTAGGCTGTGGTCTGATCACAGTGGTAAAGCTTAGAGGACTTGAATGTCTGTGTTGAGATTCAAATATGAATTTTTGAGTCAAATCTGCGTATTTTCTTCAGGAGGGCTTGATATTAGAAACTGCTGTTGACTAAGACTAAATAGCAAAACATCCCTGAAATTACTGTAAAACAATTAAAATGGTGACATCTGGGGGTCTTCCTTCATCCCCCTTCCAGCACAAAGACACATCCTCCTGGCCTCATTTCACCTTTCCATTGCGTAACTCTCATGCCTTCATAAGGGCCCATGTTTGTAAGAGAAGACATCTTCATCATCCAACACCCAAAAAGACAAGTGAGGAGAGAGAAATCATTTATAGGAGTAGAAATTCTTCTCTGACACTTAAATAATTATTTGAATGAATCTACAAGTGGGAATGGGAGAACTCCAGAAGGTAGCCGGTTATGTAAGGCATTCAACTGCATTAAACTGGACCCAGAACCTGTGCGCATTTCAAATTTGATGGCGCCTGATAACCAAATATGTAACCAGTTCACCAGGAAATATCTCTGAACTAGTGTTCCTGCCAGTGTGGATCAGCACAGCGGTCTGTATAAGTGTCTATGTTCTAATCCTAAACTTATCAGTGAGCAAGTGATCTGGGGTAAGGTTCTCCCCATCTCCCAAACTCAAGTTTTCCTTATCTCTGTGAGGTAAAGCTTGGGTTTCTAGGGCCTCTGAATCCCAAAGCTTTTCTGGCCAGGCCTATCTGTGGGCCCACGTTATTGTCTTTGAACAAAACAGTGTTTGTGTACAGTGTGGACCCCGTGGTGCTCAGATGGTCTTGGTGGGTATGAGGCAGACACCCTGATCCTGCTGTGGAGATGAGATGGTCCCAAGAGCAGAGGAAGCCAGGTATCATGTTGGATCTTATGATAAGCAAATTGACATATGGTCTCAGTCTTAGAATCATAGAATCTCTGAGCCTTCTAGTACAGACTCCATTCAGATCAACAGATCTGTCGCCTCTAAATTGGAAACTCAGGTCATCCTAACGGGAAAAAAACCTGAAAATTTTTGAATAATATTCTTCCAAGAAAAAAAAAACTCTTCCTTGCCTTAAACTAGAATATTATGGAAAATAAGATCTCTCCCATTCTTCTCATCTAGTGAGAAGTGGAAGGCACTTTGGCCACTATATCTGCAAAGCTCAGAAATTTCTGCCATGTAAGATTGAAGAAAGCATTTGTTTCCCTGAGCTTGCAACACCTGGAACAAAAGCCACCCTCATTCCTGTGTCCCTTGAAGCATCCATGACTCTAGTTTCCATACCTGCAATGCAGCATGGGTTGAAAGGGCTCTCCTTGAGCTCCAAGCAGGAAGCCCATAGTTGGCAGATATGTCATGGAGCACGCATCCTGGTGCATATTCCTAACTTCAGGCTAGCATGGGGGATAGGCTGTTCACAGTCCAGTCTCCTGAGGACTCTGATAGCAAAATGAGGACATTGAATTGCCTTACCTTTTTGTGGTGAGGTGGGTGGTTGCAGTTATTAGAGAGACATACAGAGATTCAGCATGTCTTTTTTAAGTCAATACAAATGCCCTCCTGACCCTGCCCTCTCTCTGGAAACCATTCAAGAAGAATTGGTGGACTTCAGTGGTGGCAGCTATGTGGGTACCTAGAGTCAACCTCACAGATTGTTGCAAGGCTGATAGTGTGTCTATGTCATCACCTGCCAAGGGGTACTACCCAGCCTTTAAAAAATAAATCACAGTTGTGAAAATCATACAGCCCTACTAATACTAGAAAACATGTGAAATTAACCATTCTTTTGGGAAATTACTCATTATATACCTACCAATGGTAATGTGGTAATTCTATATGTATTTTTGTCGGTTTGTTTTTGTACTAGGGATTGAATCAAGGGATGCTTAAACACTGAGCCACATCCTCAGATCTTCTTTATTTTTTTATTTTGAGACTGGGTTACGCCAAGTTGCTTAGAGCCTTGCTAAGTTTGAGGCTGACTTTGAAGTTGCAATCCTCCTTCCTGCCTCAGTCTCTGGAGCTGTTGGGATTAGGATGTGCAACACCATGCCCAGCTTTGGATGCTTTTTTTTTATTTATTTTTTTTTTAAAAAAAAAAAAGAATTTTGTTTGCCTGGCTTGAAAAAGACCTCTGAGGGAAGTCTTAAAAGTTGAGTCTGGGAAGACGTCATCAATTTAAAAAAAAAAAGTATATTTTATGTGAGCTCTGTGTGGCCTTGGAGGTAATAGAAAGGAGGAAAGACAGAGGAAAATACGAATGAGTCAAACCTCCATTTCTGAAGAATTATTGTGATGAAAATGCCTTGTGGGTAGAAAAAGAAAGCTCTCAGGGGAGACCATAGTGGGTGGAATTCATTCATGCATATAGGTAATTACTGCTCTGGGCATCGTGGTGGACACAGGAACCTCAGCAGTCGACATGATCAGGAGAACCTTGCCCTCAAGAAGATGATGTCTAGTTGCCAGAGAAACAACCTGGCAACAGTGACCCATATTGATGCATGCTATGATAATAACAAGACTAATTTTTACTGAGTGCTTAACTGCATTCTCTTACTTAATCTTCGGTAACAGTTCAGTAAAGAAGGTTTTTGTTATATTCAGTTTGCAGGCTCAGAGAGAGCTTAAGTAATTTGCCAAGAACACACAGCAAGTAAACAGGCAGAGCCAGAAATCAGACCTAGGCTGCAGCTGCTCTGGTGCTGAGACACAGAAACACAAAAGAGGCACCTGCCCAAGGTGGAGGTCACAGAAGGTTTCCTGAAGGAGGGGCTCAGGTGAGCATTTTCATTTAAGTTAGTTGTATTCTTCTTTAGCCCAGGATTTCAGAAAATGAGTTCCTCCAGCAGCAGCAGCAGCCAGTTCTGCTTCCAGGGATTCCAAACTCCCAGGGAACACTACCTTACCGAGTCTCTGTCTCATAGGAAGATGGTCACTTTTATTCTTGGTGCTTATGCAGGAGGTAGTAAGGCCAGGGAGGGGCACTTTCTTTACCCTCCAACATCTGCTGCCTCTTCCTCTTCCCTAGCAGCCCTCCTTCCAACCCTGTGGTATCTGGAATATCATGAGGGCCTCGGGGGCCCCTCTTGGACACGGGGAGAATCAAGTGAGTGGGCTGCAATTAGCCAAGTCCAAGGCCGTGAAAGTCGTATTCTGTGCCTGTCATTCACCTGGAAGCCTGGACTTCTTGGCTCCCATCACCACCAAAGCCCCATCTCCCCTAAGCACATATGTAGCCAGTTTCTCTCTGCTCTTTCAGTTCCTCCAAGGCTCCCTATGGCCTCAGTGGCATTTCTCAACTGGGCTCCTACGGGCCTTTGGGTAGGAGAGTCATTTGCTCTGAGAGCATCTCTGATCTCATCCTTTGTATCTGCCAGTAGCATCCTTCAGTCATAGTGACAACCAGAAACACACATAATTTTAAGATCTATTTTATAAGCAACCTGAGGTATAGATCTGAAATGGTCTATTCAGTGAGTTTTGACAATCGTGTGAACTTGTATGACTATCACCGAGATCAAGATGTAGGACATTTCCATCACCCCTCAAAGTTCAGAGGCAATGGTTGCTATCATTGTGGGATAATTTTGTCTGTTCTCCACTTTCATGTATATGAAATCTCATAGGTAGGTGGCCCTTTGTGTCATAAAGTAGTTTTTGAGATCTGCCCATTGAGTTGCACAACACACATACAGAACTAACTCTGTTCTCTCTCACTCTCATTTCTAAATACCAACTAGAATAGCAATACCTGCTTTATTTCCCCTGAGGAAAAAATGGCCTTTGAGTTAAGATCAGTGTCTTAGCTGAATGCTCAGAGCCCTCTGACAAGACTCCAATTGGAGTCCCTCTTATCCCCAGCCTCTAGCCCCACTCACGTGCCCCTCCTCCCAGTATACCTTGCTCATTTCCCTCTCCAGACCTTGGCCCTTGCCATGTGTGCACTGCCTGGAAAGTCCTTGTCACATATGGTGACTCCCCCTTGACCTCTCCCACACCCTCACATAAGACAGTCTCAGTTTGCATCTAACACAGCCTGGCTCTACTCACTGTGCTGGAAGCTAGCAGAGTACAGGGACCGGGTTCAGCTACATATTGCCACAGGCCCAGCACAGAGCCTGATATTAAAGAGATGGCTATAACAACCAGTCCTACCATTAGGCATAATTATAATACACCAATAGAAATAGGAAAAAAGAAATAGATGCAAAATTACAGCAGGTTTTGCCTCAAGATTTAAAGACAGAGTTTAACCCATGAAGTCCCAGGTTTTCAGTTCTGCAAATATTTCAACAAAATGGACACGGGTGCCTAAAAACACGTGGGAAATCATAATCTAGAACTTCCATACATTTTTATTAATTGGCATTAATATTATGTTAATAATATTATGTGATTATGTGCTATACAATTATATATTATATACTATATTTAAGTTTTCGAGGTGTTCCACATCTGGGACGAGATGAAGCAGATTAAAATAACTATGCAAAATGGATCCTAAACCACTCTCTAAAGAGGATTAAGACCAAAAAAAAGTAATCAGGAAAGCCTAATCTCTGACTACTGATGATAAATATACCCTGAAACTTAACTGTCAGTGAGCAAAGGCTCCAGTCTTTCCCCCAAATACCTGGCATCAGTGAGTGTGAATAATGCAGCTCGGGGTCCCAAAGGGACGAGGAGTCTCTCCAGGAAGGTTCCTGGAGGAGGTGAGCTCCAGGATTGTCAAAGAGAAACCTGTGTTGAGTCTGGGACTTACATAATCTAGAGATAATTCATAGAGATCCTTAGACCATGATCTGTCCCATTGTGACCCTTGGAAGGGCAGGAGGCCACAGCTCCAAGGGGAAGAACAGGGAGACAAATGTTGAGAGACAGGGGTGAGCACGGTTCGAGGGTGGACCAATTTCGTGTCAGAGGAAAGTTTGGGGAATCCACTTCTTTTACCTACTCTTCCCAGGGGCTCTGGCTCTGGGGACCTAGAAACAGCCTGGAGCTCTCCAGAGGGGGAGTCATCAGTTCTGCCAGGGAGGCCCTTGTCATCCTCCCGCTCCTCTTTCTGTGTTGTTCTCATTAGCTCCCGGAACACCTGGCAGAGCCTGAGGAAATAGGAAACAGACCTTTATAGCTGACAGCACTGCCTGGCACAAAGAGCAGGAACATCTCATGCCGGGTTGACTTAGAGGGAGACCGGAAATGAAGCTCTGAGCCAGGTCAGCAGGAATAACGAACGAGGAGGATGTCCACCTCAGGATTGCCTAGCACTCCCTACACACGTCACTCCCTTCCTGGCCGCCACCACAACCCTGCAGCTCCTGCAGGGTGGAAACTGGGGCTTCAAGAGGTCAGATACTCCTCAGGGCCCCAGGGGAGAAGACAGCAGGATGCAGCATTTCAACCAGGTCCCCTGCCTCTGAATCCATCCTTTTTCCAGAGGACAGTGGTTGTGTGAAGGTGTGCCACGTCAGGATGGTCAGTCTGTCATATTTTGATTCAGCTCATGACTGAGGACCTCTGCTGACCGCTGCCCTGGGCTCCAGGTTTCCAGCTGTCTTCAGCACAAGGCAGCGAGAGGATCCACCATCCTGGCTCCTTCTTTTCTTCTCCACTGGCTACCTGAGCAGGACCAGCGGGACCACTCACCCACTCTCGTGTTAGACCCTAACCCCTCTTAGTGCTTTTCAGCGCCTATGTCTCCTTTACTTGTTTGTCACAAGGGACAAATAGTAGGGATGGAGCTTATATTTATTAAATTTGAATTCAGAAGGTCAGACCCTTTTCAACCTTGATTCCTGGTCCCACCTAGATTTTTTTTTTTCCTAGTTCACACTAGTCTTTCTCCTTGCAGAAGAGCCTCAGATCTAACTGATGTTTCTAAACCCAGGCCTTGCTGACTCAGTTTGATTCCATCAGACTGTATGATGGCAGCATTTCCCCAGCTTGTACTGCCACAGCCCGAGCCAAGTATGACCACAGGAGGGTTCATCAGAGGCTGGGGACAGAGGTCCTGATGGGTAACTAGAGCTTACGGTGGGTATGGCAGGAGCTAGGGCTCCTAGTTGCAGGTAGGAGCAGACTTAGCCCTGGACCTCAAATTTCCCCTCTGTAAGTGCATCCAAGCCCTATGGGAAAGAGCTTTGAAAGTGACAAAAGTACAGAACAGACGCCAGACAGAAATATTGCAGAAGATCCAGAGTCAGGTACAGGCAATACTTGGCAGTTCAAGCCAGGGATCGCATCATGAAGTCTAGGGGTGAAACCAGATGTGAGTAGAGACCAAATGTAAAATAACATGTAACCTGGGTGCCCCCAACACACTTGAGGTCTAAAGTCTAGGTTCAGGCAGGGAGGGGAGAGCTTCAGGTGCAGACAAAGTCTCATCGTAGTGGCAGGGACTCCACCTGTTAGAGCAGAAGGCAGAAGGCCAGGTGCTAAGTTTGTGCCAGACCCAGACAAGCAACATTGAGACTGAATTAAAACTCTTTTAAGGACAGTACTATTGGCTAACACTTAACACAGTGTGCTATGTGCTATGCGCGCTTCTGAATTAGGCTTACTCACTAGGGATTTATTGAGTTAGGTATTACTACTGGGCCATATTATAAATGAGGAAACTGAGGCATGGAAAGATGGAGCAAAACTCTTGACTTCATCTAAAACTGGCAACATAAACTCTCACACTCATAGATCAAAACCAGCTATGAGGAACCACTTACACCATAGTTATTGGCAAATGCCAATTGACATTTTTTGGAATATGCTAGGCCCTGTTTGAAGCATTTTACATGTATCACCTGTAAAAACTGAGTGTGAAAATCAAAATTCATTTAATCTTCATAACAACCTCTAAAGGGTGCATACTGTTATCTCCACAGATGAAGAAACTGAGGCGCAGGGAAGTCACATATCTCACCCAAGATCAGCCAGCCAATAGGGGGGCCACGATTCACACTTGGGCCATCCAGTGTCACAGCCCACCACCTTTGTAGTGTTTTGAATGAGCCATTTGTACATGCTCAAACTCTATCCACTTTTCATTTACCTTTTTGAGAAATAGTATTTAAACATTTGCCTGGTGCCAGATAGAGTAGGCATGGCAAACAGGAAGGTCCATATCAAGAGGCTCTAAACCTGGAGGCTTAAACAAAGCCTGGACCTGGAGCTGCAGCAAAGTGAGTTTGAAGTCTGCTCCTCTCAAATATGCCAAGTGTGTGACCTTGAACAAATGACTCAGTCTCTCCCGGCCCCCATCTCCACTTGTGTGGAAGGAGGAAGGTGGCTGTGTGCTGCCTAGGGTTCTAGTGAGGAACAGTGACATCGTGCCAGGTCAGTGGTTGGCATGGCATCCAGCTCACAGTGATCCCTCACTTTGGGAAGTCACAGTGATTACAAACCCCAGGCTTGGGTACGGACACTCTTGTGAGGAAGGACACAGGCATCAGCAGATAATCCCCATCGGGAGAGGTGAGAAAAGAAAAGGGAGCATCCAGCTGTCCTGAGGGAGACAGGGAGGGTTCTGCTGCAGGTGACATTTGAGCAGGGTCTTAAAGAGCAAAGGAGAGTTTTCCAGGCAGAGAAAGGAAATGGGAGAGTGGTTCCCAGGGGAGAGGAAGTACATTCCAAGGCATTGCAGACAGGAGCAGCATCTCACTAAAAGGAAATACCAGAACACACCTATAAGAGGTGTGATCACACTTTCATGTTTATGACTGCCTGTTTTCTCCTTGTAAATTAAACTGTATACCTGGGGCGGGGGTTGTAAAGAGAGGGAGCAGTCTTGGGGAGCAGGGGGTTAGACCAGATGAACTTTGAACCTCAAAGTTCTATGGTCTTCCTTTGAGGTCCTGTGTACCACAGTTTATAATCGAGTCCACCCACAGCACCAGATAATCTCGGTGGAACAGCCTCCCCTCTGCTTGGTACTGGGGCAGCCTCTACCTAGGCTCCATGGACCAAGGCCTTGCTTCCCTGCTGCTGTGAGTGCCCTCTGCTGGTGCACTGCCACTCCACCATCTGCCTCCTTGCACTTGGTCCCAGAACCAAAGACTGTCCTGTAAGGAAAGGCCCCTAAAGGCATTCACTTACCCTTTGATTTCTCTTTGGGGCTATTGAGATTCAGATCAGGGGAAATGACTGGACCACAGTCACACAATACAGCCAGCCTGTGACCACAGCCCAGAGATGGTGGGTCCTTGACCAGTGAATATATTTGTCCCTCCATTGATGGAACACAGCAGACACCATCCCACACTCCCCACCATACCTGCCTCCCAAGGCCAGTTCCTGGAGGTGCCACTTCAGTGGAGAAACTTACAGTCGTGTCTAAGACTGGGCTTCCAGTCATTCAGTTCCTGGGAAGGCACAGCAGGGAGCACCTTCGGGATTGTTGGGCAACCCCCCACCCGTACCCCCAGCTCCTCCACTAACTTACCCACTGTATGAGCCCAGCAGACATTAGTTTCTGCATCTGTAATATGGTCACCCTTACATGCTACCCAGTGGATTATGTTGAGAGTTCTCTAAAAGAACATATAGCAACTGTTATACTGGTCCTCTTTGAAGAGTATGGTTTTCATTAAAGGCTAAAAAGTAGAAGAAAAGAAAGGTTAGGAATATGGGCAGTGGCGGGCAGATCTGTAATTACCAGCTGTGTGGTACTGGGCAGATCACTTCCCTTCTCTGAATCTCCATGTTGCCCTCTAGAAAAATGCAGGTAATGATAGCGTGTTTCTCCCATGGCTGTCGTAAGCACATTACATGGTAAGGCTTCCCCAGGGACAGATGCTCTTTCTATTGTTGATACTATTGTCATTGTCATCTTTTTATCAGGCAGGGGGCTGTGGAAGATGTTCCTGAACAAGTGACCCAAAGATTGATTCTGCCCATTTTCCTCCTTCTGGTCACCACTTCCTTTCCATCCTCACCAACCAACCGTGAGAGCAAAAGAATGTGGGTTTTGAAAGCAAGTAGGAGTGGCCTCAGGGAGAGGCTGGAGAGCCTGAGCTGGACCACAGTGAGGTTCTTGCCTCTCTACCCCAAAAATGGGGTCAAAACATAAAGCTCTGGCCTCAGCCTGGAGTTCCCTGACCTCTCGATGCTGCCCACACAGCTGGCCTCTGCTGCTCAGGTCCTAGTGTGTTGACCAAGATGTGCAGAGAACCTTTGTGTGTCTCTGCTGTCCCTACCACACCCAAGGTAAGGGTTTTGCAGGATGGTGACCTTTGACGCCTCCCTGCAGCCACCTCCTCAAGGCACAGGAGTAGCAGTAAATTTAATTATGCCAGATCTTTGGACCAAACCACAGGCTTCTGCAGGCTTGAAAACTCGTTCCTGTTGTCCCCAAGAACTATGCACAGTCCTTAGATGCCTCACTCATCCTAAGACTGCCAAGGCAGGTAGGCAGAGTTCAGAGCCTGGCCCACTAAGACTGCCAAGGCAGGTAGGCAGAGTTCAGGGCCAGGACGTTGCATTTAAGAAACACAATAAATGCCTTATTGTGTTTCTTAAATGCAACGTCCTGGCCCTTGGCTGCAATTTGTGCATTGTCTGCCTTCTCGCCTTCCCCACCATCACCCTCATTCCTCTTATGTGCTGTGCCTCTGTTGGTCATTTGCATAGCTCTGAACATGTGCTGTTTACTAGAACCCATGATAGTCACCTCCACATTTTTCTTATTCGATGGTAAACCTCACCTCAATCCTGTGTGGAAAGAATCATCAGCCCTATTGGCCAAATTAAAAAAAGTTCAGTCCCATAGTGATAAAGACCCTTTCCCAAAGCCACACAGCTTGACTGGAACCGAGTAAAAATCTTCCCCAGTGAAGGCTTTCTGGGGGACTTGAAGATTCAGCTGGAGCTTAAAGACTGAGCTAGATTTTGAGGAGGGGTGCAAGAGGTGATGGCATCCAGGCAGGGGACTGTGCTTCCTGGTCATGGAGGCGCAGGAGAGACAGTTACAGTCTGAAAGTTCAAGCAACTGGGGCAGGTGGTCCAGCAAGCCCAGGCCAGGACACCCCCTTTCTCTTCCCTGGATTATCACACCTGACAGTCCCAGGTCAAGAGTCCACTCTTGGTGCCAGGAGATCTCTGGTCAGGTATGGAAGAAATGCCTTATTGTGTTTCTTAAATGCAACAAGGCTGCACTCAGAGCTCCCCATCACCCTGGCTACTGGTAAAGTCAATCTGAGTCATTACCGGGAACCTGTCTCTACCTGCTGCTATGACTGCCATCCATCAAGGGAACCACACTGAGTAAGCTGAGATTCCTTCCCCTCCAGCCTGAAGGGCCTCTCTAGGGTCCGCTGTCTCTGCCCTGGGTGGGGTTTGCCTATGTGGAGCACAGAAACCCTAGTCTAAGATCTGGCCCTCTCCAGGCACCTCAAAGCCATTCCCAGGTGATCCTGCCATGGCCCTCACACACATCAAGCACTGATCTTGGAACCTGCTGGCTCCGTTGCTTCCTAAGCCTAGACATGGCCTCCACTCCCTCACCTTCACCATCCTGATCAAGAGACTCCCCTCAAGGGTTTCAGCACCCACAGGACACAGAAAATGAAGGACAACTCCTCGGGGAATATGCCCTTGGTCCTGCCACCAAACCTCCCCCAGGGCCACTAGACAACATCTGTCTTATCTATCGGGGAACAAGGGAAGGGAAAAGGAAAACATCACCAAGGAGCGGCTCAGCAACCATCCTGTCCTTTGCCACACTCCCTCTCCTTGCTGGCCTTGGCAGACTGAAGTCTTTCCATTCCTCAAATGTGTCCTATTTTCTCTCAACTCCAGGCCCACTCACGTGCCCCCTTCTGCCTGGACACCACCCGCAGTCAGTCACTCCTGCTCCTCATCCCCGTCACTCCTATGCATCATTAGGAACCTCAGCAGTGCTCCCAGGGTCGACTGCACGTCTCCCATCAGACATGCCCCCTGGCCCTGACCATTTTTTTTTTAACCTACATCCCCCAGGAGATGCTTATAGCTCATTATGTTCCCAGGGGCCTCACATGTGGTCTGCACACAGTAGGTTTTTGTACACACATGTTGAGCAAATGAATCCCGAATCAGATTCAGCCACTCCCTGAATCAGACTCACTTAAAAGATAGAAAACTGTTGCCTGAGCCTGTCAGCAAGCTGAGCCGGCCCTGTGACTTTCCATTTTCCCTTTCATGGGACCCATGAGTTCCCTTCCATCCCTGTTCTGTGGAGGATTCAGTCACGCCCAGGCCCCAAATCCATCACCAGGGTAGGGATGAAAGGGAATTCATTCATCTGGGTCCATCCCACCCAGAGAACACTCAGACCCTGTATTTGGGATCCAGAACACTCCCAAGTTTGCAGTCTGCTCAGACATGGGGACAGATGGCTGGACAGTGGACAGCTGGGCCAGGAGGGTAGGCAGCTTGGAAGGATGGAAATAGCAGTGAACTAAGCATTGGGAGTCCTGGGCTCGGAGCCTATCTGTTCCCCGAGTTTGCTGCACAGATCAGTCAGGTTCTTTGGCTGCCAGCAACAGAAACTGACTGAGTAACCTAGGCAGCAGAGAGATTTATTAGAAGGCTTGAGGGTGTGACACAGAAGTACCAGATAACAGAGCTTTGGTTTGAGGGTCCTCCCTATGGTGAAGGGAAGGCAGGGTACCAGATCAGGAGAGAGGTAAATCTCAGAATCCTGTGTACTACCTGAAAATATTTGTTAGCATACCGTCATACTTGTCCTGAGGCAAGTCATTTCTCTGGGCCTCCATTTTTCCAACTGGATGTTCTGAAGTTGGCCTCTCTTCCTCCATTCACATCTCCAGTTTGCTTTTTGCTGAGAAACTTCCCGCCCTGGCCTCAGATGGCACCTTTCCCCATCCGGACACCTTGGGAATGAAGTTTGAGGGAGCTAGGTGAGTGTGTGTGGTGCCCCACAGCCCACCCATTGAGGAGGCCAAGCCTTCTCCACCTGCATGCTCTGTGATTTGTTACTCACTTGCCTGAGGTGACCAGCCTGATCATTTCTTCTGCACTAAGCCAGCATGGCCTCTGCTCCTGCATTGCTGAACATTCTGGATGGCATTATGGGCTTTTCCTGGCCATGATCTGGCCACCATCTCTAGCTTGAGAAGCTCTTAGCTAGAGTCTGCCCTCCCAGAAAATCCAAAGCTACCAACCTTGAGACCCTGCCACTGGCCTGCATTTGACCTTTAACTTGTCCATTAATAGGCTCAGGGCCTGTGCTGAATGCCTAGATACGGCAGTGGTGGTGAAGGGAATGAGGATGTTCCAGAGTCTCAGAAAGCCAGTGGGGGAGGCAGGTGCATAAACAGCTAATTATAGCAGCAGAACAAAGTAAGAGACAACAGAAGTGGAAGCCAGGTGTGTGGGGAACCCAGAGGCAGGACAGCTTGGTTCTTCTCGGAGATCAGAGAATGCTTCGTGGAAGAGGATATGCCTAAGAAGAGCTGTAGAGAATGAGTAGGATTTGGCAAGGAGAGTGGATGGGATATTGCAGACAGAGGAAAAGCATGAACAAAGGCCTGGAGAGGTTTGATTCAGTGAATAGAGATGTCTGGAGGACTTGGAGCTTTAGGAGATTGGTAAGCACTCCATGCAGCAGTGTTCAGAGGGGTCTGGGGGGCATGAAGTCCAAGACAGAGGCCTTATCTGCCTGGGGTTGGCTCAGTCTCACACCCAGGAATCCTGACTTCAGTATCCTAGCTCCACCTGACTTGTTACCCATCCTGGAAGCAGACTTGGGCTCCTCTGCCCACTGGTAGAAAAGCTATAAGGTGATATTCCCTCCACAATACAAAGGAACAGATGAAGGTGCTGGCATTTGAGTTGCAAGGGGCTTAGCGTCCGACCACCTTATTTTATAGGTGAGGACTCAGGCCCAGGGCAAGGAAAGGATCACCCAAAGGCATAAGGCTGTTGGGAACATAATGGGAAAGCGTAGTTTGGTTCATAGCAATGCTATTCATGATAGCCAAAAGCCTGAACAGCCTGAATGTCCATCAGCTGACAAATCTATCAGCTGATAAATGGAAATGGACAAATGGACAGTGGAAAATTATCCAGCCACAAAAAGGAATGAAGTACTGACACGTACTACCAACTTGTATGAACCTAGAAAACATTCTGCTAAGTGAAAGAAAACAAACAAAATGCTTCCAATTATATGAACGATCCAGGATAGGCAAGTCATAGGAAGCAAATTAGTGGCTGCCAGGAGCTGGGGGAGGGGAGAATGGGAAGTGACTCCTTAATGAGTACATGGGGTTCCCTTTGGGGTTGATAAAAATTTTCTGGAAGTAGATAATGATGGTGGCTGCAATACCATTATAAATGTAGTAAATGCTTCCAAATTGTACACCTTTAAATGGTGAAAATTTTGTGAATTTTATCACAATTAAAATGGGAGTAGTTTGGGATCAGAGAAGATGCCACCAGCTGAATCTAATGTCCATTCTACAAACATATGCCACCTTCCTGTTACAGACCTCCCCACCACAGTCCAGGCAAGGGGAGCACATGCCCCCTCTCAATGCAGGGAAGCCTCACGGTCAAGTGGAGGAGGGCTGCCCTCCTGGGGCAGGGTTCCTCATGTCTAGCCCGTTTCTTGCTCATGTGCCTGTACTGAAGCCTGATTCCCCATCCCATTGACCAGCTGACTTCTCATTAGTGCCAAAGTTTCCATGAATCCTGGGCCTTCAAGCCCTGCTCTTATTATTTGCACTGTTCCAAGAGTTCTTTCCCTTACAACCCATCATCTACCTAAAAACATCCTTTAAGAATCAGCTCCTGGCCAGGCATGGTGGCGCACACCAGAGTCTCAAAAGGCTGAGGCAAGAGGATCATGAATTCAAAGCCAGCCTCAGCAAAATCGAGGCCCTAAGCAACTCAGCGAGACCCTGTCTCTAAATAAAATATAAAATAGGGATGGGGATGTGGCTCAGTGGTCCAGTGATCCTGAGTTCAATCCCCAGTACCCCCACCCCCACCCCTCAAAAAAAGAATCAGGTCCTGTCTGCCCCTTGGAGAAGACTTCCTCTCTCCCTGCTCCCTCACCACAAACTGACCTGGGCCTCCCTCTTTAGTTTAGCATATACATCAACTAAAGCAGGCCTCCGGGTGCAGTCATGTTTGCTTGTCTCTCTCCTTGAAAAGTCAGGAGCTGGTAAGCAGTGGCCTGGCTTGCTCACTGTTGTTTTCCAGGGACAGCTCTGGCCCTTGCCTGCAGGAGGTGCTCAGCAGATGCTTGTCAAATGAGCACCTCCATCTCTGGGGTTCTCTGGTTCTAAAAGCATCAGTGGGGGGCCAGCCCAGCAAGTTGCTGCCTGTTGATACAGGACAGTTTTCTGCTCCTGTCGCCCCGCTGATAGAAATGGAAGAAGAGAGAGAGAGAGAGCCTATAGCAATCCATTATAAGCAGCTATTTCTGCTCCTGGTGGGCAGAGAGGAGAGCAGTGCCCAGAGATGGGGTTTCTTCATGCAGTTTACATGGGCCATCTCTGTTTTGAAAATCTTGCTAAACCCTCCCCTGAATAGCCCAGATGCGCAGCTTTGCCCTAGGGGGTTCCTGGAGTTCTCTACCACCGGGCAGAGCAGCAGGCCCTTGTTCCATTTTTCCCCTGCAGTTGGGAAGTGCTACTCTTTCTGCTTCTCTGATTATGAAATTAGTCATTTTCTAGGAAGCTTATTTATAGAGTCCGCTGCACACAGGCAGCACTGAGCTATTCTGAATGCGGCTGGGGGCCTGGTAGGCTTAAGGTGTGAAAGCAGGTGTGAGTCACACCTGGGTCCCTTCCAGAGGATACCCTGGTGACTTTCTGCCCCACCCCCACCCCGTCATGGGTCAGCCCTCCTGGGCGAGCATGATCCTTGGTATAAAGAAAGCTCATGATTGGCAGGTCGGAGATAGGAGTTCTCCAGCTCGATCCCTGAGGCCACAACCTCAGTCTATAGCTTGGTGCAAGTCAGACTCCTGTCCTCTGCCTCGGTTTCCTCCTCTGTAAAGTGAGAGTCCTTCCAGGTTGCGTTTCTCTAACTGTGCTGGTCAGCATCTGTGGGGGAGGGTTCCAAGTAGCTTAACAAGGAAGTGCCACAGAGTATCTCAGATGATGGCTATGTTTGAAGTCCTGAGGCTTTTTTAAAGAATGTCAGGGAAACCTTGAACTTCCTACAATGAGTTAGGCACTGTGCTCAGCTTTGAAGACACAATGGTAAATAAAACAGCAATGGCGGTCCCTGGCTTCATGTGGCCCATAGTCTAATGTCTGAGACTAGTTAATCAAACAATGGCATAAATTAAAATGAATTCCCAAGTGTGTCAAGTGCTATGAGTAAAATAAAAATTAAAAATAAAAAAAAACACTGGGAGAGCTGGAGGAGCTGTCCAGGCAGAGAAAACATGTGCAAAAAAAACTGTGAAGGGAAGGACCCTGTCCAGGGTGGCTGCAGTGTAGATGTTGGGGGCAGAAGGACATGCAATAAAGCTGGAGGAATAAATGAGGCCACATCACACAAGAGCTAGTGAACTGTGCCAAAAGATGTTTATATTTGTTCTAAGTATAAAAGGATGCCATGAAAGTATTTTTTTTTTCAAGGAAGGTTATGTGACAAATTTCAGTTTTGATTCTAGCTCAAGCCTGCCTCATCCAGTTGTGCAGGGTATAAACTGGGCAACCTCTATAGGCCATGTGCATTGGGGCCATGTGGAGAAGGTCTTGGAGGCCAACCTTAGTGGATGCCAGAGACCATCAAAGAAAGAGAGCCCTTACAGTTTTGCATGGCATTTGGCTGGAAGATAGTAGCCCTTTCTCTGCAGGAACATTGGGCCCTGGGACTCAGAGACTCTGCCAGTTGGAGTGAGGAAAAAATAAAACAACACAATGTCAGTTAAGAGAAGAAAATATCAAAATGTGAAGAGTTACCCTTGACCTGGCCTGTCTGCCCTGAATTGTTTAAAATCTGCAGTTGGACCTGAAACAGGCCTCAGGACCAGTGAGAGGCAAGATTCCCTGTCAGGTGGGTAGGGAGACAGCTGACCTCCTGGGCGACTTAGGAGCAATGAGCTAGTACATCTGTGTTAAAGATTTTTTGATTGTCAGTTTCAGGGGGAAAAAAATTCCCCTGGCTTAGCCAGAAGGTAATGACTTATTTGAGGGATCCTGGGGCATCTCATGGTCTTGATGAATATGTTGTCCAATCAAGACTCAGCACAGGAAGGAATGAGACCGCTCTGGGGCCCTTGGAAGCAGGCGTTTGAGGCCCTTCTCTCCAGGGGATGACCACTACCATGATTCAGCATCAGCAGCTGTGGGCTCCACGCCTCCAGAATACATTACAGTTGTGCAGGAGAGAGGTTCTGGTGGATTCTGGTTTGTGTATTCAGCCTTGATCAACCCACATCTGCCACAGGCCAGATACCGGAAGGGCAGACGGGGCCATTGGAGTTCTCCCCTGCATTTCAGGCTGTTGCCAGAGTAGGGGACCCTGTGAGCAGTGCAGGTGCCCTTCGGGTCCGTCAGTTCTGAATCCCCTGCATGGGTCTAACTGATCTCCACCATTTTTTTCCAGCTTCTTGGGTAAAGAAGGAAAGTTAGACTAGGACAATCCTATAAGTTACCTTAATGAGCTAGAAAGAGGATTTTCTAATTTCAGAAAGAGAACATTTAGAAGATGCAAAATACATACATCACTCCTGTTTCTAGCTCTTTCTGGAGAATTCTGCCTGCCGCTTTCCACTGCCAGAGGCCCACGGCTCTTGCACGTCTTGGTGAGCTGGACACAGGACTGTGGTTACCAGACCTCTCTTCTTGCTCAGCCCTGGTTCAAAAACCACGGGATTTAGGAAGCAGAACTACAGAGCAATAAGAACATGAGCTTGGAATCCATGATTTCAAACCCAACTCCACTCTAATGAGCTCTGTGATCCCAGGCAAGTTACTTAATCTCTCTGAACTTGTTTAATGACCCCTGATTCATGGGGTCATGGTGAGAACTCAACATGGTAAAGTTTGTAAAGTGCTTTTGCACAAAGTAAGCCCCCCATATTAGGGAAGATGGTGATGATGATGATTCTACATAGAAGACACCTGCAGAATTCTGCAGGTGTCTAACCTATTTGATAGATTGGTCTTTCCCTCTGATAAGGTGAGGCTACTTAAGGGACAGAGCGCCGAAGACTTTTTATCTTCGCTTGGGATTTTGTCCTGATCCAGGCTCAACAGCCTCGTCTCATATCTTTCATCCTGCTGCAGAGTGAGAGAGAGAGCCTCAACGCTGATGACTCCGAGGGAGGGGCCCTGGACATGTGCTGCTGTGAGAGGCTGCCGGGTGAGTCTCCCCCAGCATCCAAGTGCCCCAGGGTCTCCCAGCAGAGAGAGGGCCCCAGCTGACATGGGGCTGGAATAAAGTCTGGTTATCTGTGATCTTGGTCCAGAGGTACAGTGCAGCTGCTCCAGGGTTTAAATGGGGAGTTTCCTCATTTCTGATGTCTTCCTGACCTGCTAGTGATTGGAGCTTCTCTAGGCAGCCAGGAAGAGAGGGCAGCTATGGCTGTGCTGAGAGGTGGAGGGCTCAGAGGGACATGTCTGCTGACCAGCGATGTGTTGGGCAGACTTTGACCACATTGGTGGGAGCCTGGCTGCCTGAACCCCAGCCATTGCAGTCACCATGGAGGTGTTACCAAGGCACTCCTGCCCACAGGGTGGCAGCATGCCCTACCAGTTGGAGACCACATACCCAGGTTGTGATGAACAATCTTGGAAGGAATAAAGGGAAAGGGGCAAGGAGAGGATTTTTAAATGTATGTTTCCTCCTTTTTATAGATTTTTTTCTTATAACAAATGTCCATGGTAGCAATACTAGAAAATAAAGACAAGTGAAAAAGAAAGAAAAGAAAATCATCATAATCCCATAGCAAAACACAGCTTTTTATATCCCTCTTCCAAAGTTTTTGGTTAAAGAAAAAAAAATTCTTAAGAAATAGCCTTTTGAATTCTAACCGAAGTCCTAAACCAGCAGCTTGTCGGAAACCTCATGGTTGGTAAGAAACCTTAGAATGGAGTCTCCATGTGACACCCTCTAAGATTGATGTTGCAAACAACTAGATGTGACACTAAAGCAGTGACTCTTTAAAAGAGAGAGAGAGAGAGAGAGAGAGAGAGAGAGAGAGAGAGAGAGAAGGCAGTTATTTTATTCAAACCAGTGTTGGTGCCCAGGCTCCCCAGGAAGCTCCTCAGCTATCCTGCCTAGTGAGCCCTTCGGTGCAGTTCACCCCTTGTCCAGTAGGGGAGCCATTGCTCCCTTTGGACGGACCTTTGAGCTAGTCTGGGACTGAGCGTCTCACAGAAGAGTTGTGGGGACCAGAACAGCAAACTTGAAGAAAAGAGTTCTCTGAAGGGATGTCTCAATATCTGCGGCCATCACATGGAAGGTCAGCAGACCCATTCTGTGTGCCTTAGGAGGCAGATGTAAGCCCAGTACGTAAAAATGAAAGAGAGACCTGTTGGCCCAAGGGATACAGAACTTACTTTCCGTCTCTAAAAGTGGTCCAGTCATAGAACTTAATGATTCCAGAGGAAGAAAATGAGTGTTTCATCACTGGAGTCATTCAAGTATTGAGAAGACAGCATTGGAGAGGAAATTTCCACAGTGGGTGGGAGGTCTGGATGACATCAAAAGTCCCTTTCAACTATTAAACAGTTCTGTGATTCAGAGATGAGTCATAGAATTCAGAGATGATTCTACAATCAGGGATGGCCCCTCTGGCTAGAAAAAAAATCCACAGAAAGTGGGACGTGATGTATAGGAGTCCAGAGAGTAGCCATGGTGTGGAGGAAAAAGCACGGGCTTTGGCATTTAAGTCTGGTTGATCTGTTTACAGGCTGTGTGTTCGTGGGCAAGTGACTTAACCTTGCCGGTCCTCCAGTCCTTCATCTGTAAATGGAAACAACAGCAACATGAATATTTATCCTCGCAGAAGTCCTGGGAGGTTAAATATATATAATCAGTCATTCATTCAACAAATATTTATCTATATCTCAGGCATTATGCTAGGTATTTCGGATATAATGGTAGACAAAACAGACATAGTCCCTGTCCTAACAAAGGTTCCTGGGTAAATTTGGCTTTGAGCCATTCTTGAAAAAATGGAATCAATCCTTAGCAGAGAGGTTATAGTATTAAGCACAATATGTTTGATTCCAACTCTCTCCCTTTCCTCTCCCAAAGCCAGGAAACAGTGTAGTGGAAAAGGAATATTAGTCATCTCCACTGAAGCTGGCTCATTACCTGCCTTATGCACTGCCCAGGGAAGCTGGTATCATTTGCTACCCTGTTAAACAGATGAGGGGACCAAGGCCCAGGGAGTTGGGCTGCCTGTTCTAGGTCATTTAGCTGGTATTTGGTAGAGGGAGGATTCAGTCCAGGCAGTCTCTCTCCAGAGCCATTGTGCTGACTGCTGCTTCCCTGTTCTGCTCCAATGTCCCCAAAGAACTACTGTTGTCTTCAGGCACCCTGTGGACTGTGAGGCAAAAAGGGTTTAGAGGGCTTCTCCCCAGGGAGGAGTTGGGAGTAGGTAGGCAATGTCACCATGCCTGTGTCCTTCCTCTGGAAAGCCCTCTCTGCCAGGGTCCAGCTGAGTTTTAAACCTCCCTAGAGTCCCATAATGCCATCCTGACATGGTATTTATTATTGCAATAATTATTTATCTGTCTCCTTCGTGGGACTGTGAGTTCTTTGAAGGCAAGCACCTCTCTTTCCACTCTGCGTCCTCCCTGTTGAACATTTATTCACTTATTTCTTCATTTACTATTAATTGAGCACCTACATGTGCCACGCAATATTACTAACCACTGAAGATTCAACTGTGAACCAAAATGGAGAAAATTCCCTACCTTCACAGGACAATATTTTGGGCTGGGTAAGACTAGGAACTCCAGACCCAATCTTGGCTCTGTCACTTATGGGGAGAATGATCCTGGACAAGCTACTTCCCCTCTCAGGCCCTTACATCTGCAAAATGGCAGGAATAACAATCACTGCTGTCTAGAATTATTGAGAGAATCAATGAATCAATAGAGAGTTTAGAACAGGGCCTGGCACAGATCAAGCACTGTATAGGCATTTGCTATTAAGGGAAAGACAGACAAAAAGTAAAATAGATAATATGATAAATAGGCATAAGTGCTGTAGAGAAAATTAAAGCCAGGAAGACAGGATGGGAAAGGACTGGGGGTGGTGTGGCATCATAAATTTGTGGACCCAAGCCTGGTATGGTGCAGACTGCCAAAAATGTTTGTGAGGCAGAGCCACTCATCTAAACTGTAACTTGGACGCAAATGGATTGGAGGTACATAGGCTAAGAGAGTCAGGGTGCTGAGCCTTCAGAAAAATGCACGGATAAGGCACGCAGTTGCATAATGATGGTGTAAAATACAGCTCTTGAGTGCTCTCTCCCCCTCCCCACTGTCTTCCCTGCTGGGTAAGAAGGCAGAACCAGGGCCAGCCATGCCTGGGTGACTCACTCATTCCCACACACACCTCCGGGCAGGGCGACATGGCCAGCACTCCCAGCCATGGTCACCCAGACCTGAGCAAGCATCAGGCAGGTTGTATAAGCCTCTCTGATTGAGCTTCCTGGAATAGAAACCCCCTGGGGCATGGCCAGCAACCTAGACAGCCCTGAGCTGCTGCAGAATGGCCTGTCCAGGGATCTCCACATGGGCCCCAAACTCACATTCGCTCTCACTGACATAGCCGCACGCTCACGTACACACGTGGCAAAGAAAGGCATAACACGAGTAGTCATCCAGGCACATGGCCTGCCTCTGCCTCACAGAGTCCTGTGGGGGTGGACACGCACCTCCAAAGGACACACACCTGCATGTCTTCCTCTCCTTACACGCTCAGCCCCCTCCGTCACCACCCCATCCGCCTGCTTCCACCTTGCAGGCTTCCTATGATGGACAGCTGTGCTAGCTTTCATTCCAATGTTGAATCTCTCTCTCTCTCCCCCCATGACTGACCCCACACCCCGTCTCCCTCACATGCATGAAGAGCAGAAGGCACCCTCCTCTGCTTTGCATTCTCTGTCTTTTCCTAGACCCTCGGTCATACATGATTCCCAGCCCTCGGTCATACACGTTTCCCAGGTACTGTTGCAGGCACTTGGTGTGAACTGGGTTGCCTTCCGTGCCTCATACACCTGCACACACACACATTTCTCTTCTCCCTCACATACACACTCTTCACATGCTCACCTTCCTTTTCTTCTCTTTCACTCTCCCTCACTTGCTCACTTTCCTTGCTCACAGTCACCCAAACACTTGGGTACATTCACACTCACACTCCCCCTCTTCTGTGTGTAGGTGTTCACATTCGCAAGAAAGCAAGCAACACCGCTGATGCAGGGGCCTCTGCTCCTCACCTAGCCTGGGACCCATCAGCTTCCTTGGGGATCCAGAGGAGGAAAAGGAGGTAGACAACAGTCGGTGCCAGCCATGGCCAGGACATGGAATGGAGAACCTCATCAAGTCTTGCTTTCAGTGCCTTCAGCAGGCAGACTCAGGACAGGATGGCTCCTGCCATTTGTAGGGACTAGGGCCAGATAAATAACAAGGCTCCTAGTGGTGCTCAGTCCTGCACGGCAAAGGCAAAGGCGTCCTTGCATGCATATGGGTATATCCGTTTATGGGTTCAGGCATGGTCCACCACCCCCCCAATAGCTACCCATCAAATCTAAAAATACCGAAGCAGGAGTCAATGTCTCCCCTCAGAAAGATGTTATGAGGGAAAGACCCCTGCAAGCAAAGGATCATCTGATCAGGGAACTCTGGAATTCTAGTAGTACAGCCTAGAATGAGGGTATGAACACTAGGTAGTCATAGACTACAGGTAAGCACATCTCCTGAGCCTGTGAACTTCTCACTGTAGGGAGTGGCATGGCCACAGAAAAGGGAGTTCAGGGTTCAGGTCTAAAGACAACACTGCTCTGAAGAGCAAGGTACTCCCAGGGCCCTTTACAGCTAGAAGCTGGCTGGAGTTATGTCCTGAGATTTAAGTGAATCACGACCAGTTGGGTTTATGCCAGGTTTTGAGTATATGCTGAAGACCTGAGTAGGGCATTGCCCTTTTAGTAGGAACAGCTGATCTCTTGGGCTAATGACTCTAGGCTCCACTCTCCACCTTAAATCATAGTGTCTTGAAGGCTGATTGCAGCCCAGCCCAGCACAGTTCTCAGTCTGTATCATTATGAATATTTAGAGGACTCTCCTTGAGTGCAGGGATAAGGTCTCAATCTCAGTAAGAGGCCTCCACCCCATCCCGGATGC